CCCACGCGGGAAGCGCAGCCCCAGGCGCCACTGCAAAGCGAGGCCATCGTCTCCGGGGTCGGGGTCGCGGCAAGGCCGGGCGCCACAGGCGGCCGTGCACAGCCTCACGCCCGCCGCAGCCCTCCCCAGGGCCCCAAGGGCCGGCGTGGCCAGAGGCCGCAGAGCGCCGCCCACGGCCACCTGCTTCCTCACACCACAGGAGGCGCCCGCCCTGCAGCTGGGCAGAGCCGAGGCCTCCCTCATGGCCGGGGGCATCTGTGGCCCTCCGCTCCGAGCGTCACATCCGAGTGTCACATCCGTGACAATCGCGGGGCGGCAGGTGGGGCTGCAGTTCCCACTGGGCTTCCTCAAATGAAACAGCCACATCCACCTCGTCAGCACGTGGACCGGAGCTCGCGCGGGCGCCGGGGACGTGAGACCCTCATGTCACGGCCCCCTCCCCTTCCCCGCTGAGCACAGACCTCGGGACCACACCACCTTCCTGATTCCACGAGATCGGGGTACACAAGCAGGAGTGGCCCTGTCATCGGGGTTCCTGGCAGCTCCTCTGACCCCACACCCGGGCCAGCCCCTGCTCTGATCCCAAGGTGCAGCCTGTGCTCCCACGGCGTGGGGGGGGGCAGGGAGGTCCTGCGCGGGGCCTGAGCCCTCCCTGCCCCCGGGATCACTGCAGACCCTTGGCAAAGGAGCAGAGGGCCAGGCGTGCACCCCAGAACCCGGTGTATGACTTCAGGATCAGGTGCGTGCCCTCAGCCGGCTGTGGGCAGGAGCAGCGGGCATGCACCTGGGGGCGTGTCCTGCTCCCTGACCGGCCACCACGGCGGGCGGCCCAGGGTCCCAGCACGATTTCCATGCGTTGGTTGGAAGGTGACAGGCAGTGGTTTGGAGACCTGCTGCGGTGGCCGCACGCCGGCTGTGCTGGGCGGCCCCTCGCAGAAGCACGTGCACCCCGTTCTCCGGCAGCGCCCACGAGGTGGGCTCCATCCCTGGGCGTCCGGCTCCAATGCCGGCGCCGCTCATTGAAGACTCGGCTGCCATGGGGCGGGCGCCCCCCGCCGGCGACAGGCTGGACCCTGGGCCCTCGCCTGCCCTGTGCTCACAGCCGCCTGGTCCCACCATCGCTTCCGGGGTGACAGGGCCCCTGGCGTGTCTCAGCCTGGGCCACCACCTCCCAGAAGTGTCTCAGGGGCTGCTCGCAGCAGCACCTTCCCTGCCTGCGAGGGGTCCACGGGGCCATCTCCAGTGCCCGGAGTGGCTTCTCCCACCGCTCCAGCCCCCGGCCCCTCCCCTCGCCTCCCTGGAAACGAGTCCCCTTGGAACCTGCCCCCCACTCATCCAGGGCTAGGAGCACCCGGGCCTGGCCTCCAGGGGGACCCTCCCCACTCAGCTCCAACCCCTCACTCCCCCGCAGAGACTCAGGGCTCTGCACGCTGCTCCCCGCTGCAGCTCCCTTTGCTCCTACAGGTCTCCCTGTTTACCTGCCGTCCCTCGAGCCCCTCAGCCCGTGGAGGCGGGACCACTCACTGCCCTGTCTGCTGTGCCCGGACCACAGCCTGGCACCCGGAACTGCTCTTGAGCGAGTTAGCGAGGGAGCGGGAGGTGTGGTCGGCGCGGTGAAGACAGGTGCCTTGCTGAGCCGGTCTCAAGGTGGTCGGTGCTGCCGGCTGGTGGTGACTACAGGGGACGGTCAGTGACGAGGGGCAAAGGGAACCCATAGCAAGGACACAGCCTAAGGACTTGTCCCGGAGACCAGGAGGGGCCGGGGACAGCCTTGGAGGGCAGGCCCTGGAGAAAGCCAGGACCGGGGGCTGCAGAGGCGGCAGCGGAGAGCCCACGGGGCTGGGCCGACAGCGCCCCCCGCCCCGCCTGCTGGGAACACCCCACTTGCTCAGCTCCGTCAGTGCTGGCTGTGCCCACCCCCCAGCGGGGTGGAAGCGCTTCGCAATCCCCGTCCGCGTCACTGGGGCAGGTGGGGCCGGGAGGTGAGCCTCGCCTCGTTCCTTCGCCAGGAAGAAGAGAGGTCTGGGGAGCCAGCCTGGGGCCAGGGTGCGGTTGCCCCAGGGGAGGGGGCTGTGGGAGCCGGCTGGGGTCTGAGGAGGTTTGGGGGGGAACCCCGGGTCTGCCGTACCCGCCCCAGGGACCGCCGAACGCGCGGCACTGCTCCTCCGCCCAGCGTTTCTCTTTCGGGGCGTCCGTGCCCCATCTTTGCCTCCCCACCTTCTCCAGCTCCACAGGCTCCCTCCCCACCCCTTCCAGAGTGCCCCTCACGCTCTGCTCTGGGGGCTTTGGCACTTTGCAGGGAACCCGGGGAGCCACGGGCCCTTGTCTGGCCGGCCACGCCCTCTCCGTCTGGGGCCCTCGCCCACCCTCACTGCCATCGCTGAAGTCCCAGGCCAGGTGGCGCTTGGGGTGGCTGAGTGGGAGCCCCTGTGGGCTGGCCGGGGCTGGCTGAGCCCAGCATGGCACCAGGGGGCAGGGGGGGGCGGTGGCCCCATTGCTAGGGAACGGTGTCAGAAAGGCTTAGGGGCCAGAAGGGGCGGCTGCTGGCAGGAGGGGACCGGCGGGGCAGGGGGGGCGGGGGTTTTCAGGAGCAGGGTGAGTTCCGCGGTGGGCCTGGGGCCAGGGTCCTACCAGCAGCACCCTGGTCAAGGCACTGGGACCACTGGATTTAGGCAGGGAAGGGGCGGCTTATGATAAGGCTTTAGGGCAGCGGTCCCCAACCTTTAGGCACGGGGGACCGGGGCTCCCATGAGAACCTAAGGCCTGAGGACCTGAGGCGGAGCTGAGGCGGTGATGCTGGCGCTGGGGAGCGGCTGCACCCACAGGCGAAGCTTCGCTCGCCTGCCTGCTGTGTGGCCCGGTTCCTCGCGGGCCCCTGTCCGGTACTGGCCCACGGCCCAGGGGTTGGGGACCCCCTGCTCTAGAGTTCGACATCCATGTACAGTATCCATGGTATTTTAAGAAGCATAATCTGAATTCCACACTGTGTAACATGAGCCATTTTCCAACCACCTAATGAAACTCTCACAGAACTTGATAAATAATTTAATCGTAAAAACGGTTTCCTTTAAATCTCGAGGAAATGGCCTCTGGAAATGGGAGGACTTGCAGCCTGGCGACAGCTACGGGCCACACGTGGCGGCCCGACCACGCTGACTCGGCCACGGCCCGCCGGAGCGAGCTGCCGGCTCAGCGCCGGGGAGGGCAGGGCCATCTGGAGGCAGGCATGACAGGCCACACAGCTGACACCCGCCCCGGCTGACCACTGCGGACACAGCGAGGGTCAGAGGGCGGGGACAGCAGCAGGGGGCCCAGCCCCGGAGCCCTGAGCCGAAAGGCCCTGGGCTGTGACCCTGGGAAGCTAAGCGTGGCCCTCGGCCACGAGGAGGTGGCTCTTCTGCTCGGCCTTCTCACGGTGGCCCCAGCCCACTGAGGGGCCCGAGGGCCTGGGCAGAGGCGCCGCATTGGCTGGCACAGTGACCACATGGCTCCCAGCACGAACGATGGGCAACTTCCAGGCAGGTGGGCGGACACCCCAGGGCGCTCATGGGCCCGGCCCCATCACCGCCTCTGGACAGGGGGTTTCAGAGCGACCTTGGGGCCAACGACTGCCTTGGAGGAAGGAAAAATTGCTGACGTCAACACCCGACTACAGCGTCGATGACTCTCACTCCCTCTTACATTTCTTAAAATTTAGATTCTCAGTTCCCCTAACGACGTGGTGGCCCTGTGCACACAGGGGACAGCACTGGTGACCGCCACCATGCTGACTGGGGACGCAGACTCACACTTGAAAGACGCAGTGGGAGTGGCAGTCACCAAATGGCCTGGGGCACTCAATTGGGCAGCAGAATGGACTACAGCCACCACGCCGCTGCCGGGCGGACTCTGCCGGGGCACTGAGGGGCTCACCTGAGTGGGTCCAGGCTTGACCGGTGGCATCGGGGGCACGCAGGTCGGCTTGACCACCTGGAAGGAGGCAGACACAGTGGCAGGGGGTGCCACCCACCGTCCTGGCCGGGCCAGCCGCCGCCCTCCCAGGCGCTCTGCCCTGTTCCAGACCAGACACAGGCTTCTCTGCTGAGCTCGCTACAGAAAGTGCCCCCAGCCCCTCCCTCCACCCAGGGCCACCCACGCCACCCATCTTTACCCATGAAAAGCTCTTAAATTGCCAGAGCGTAGGTCTTGGAGGTTCAAAAGCTAAGAATCAGCCACTAAACTTTGCAGTTTTCATTTCTGCTTTCCTGGGCTGCGGGGTGGGAGGCTTGCCAGGCCTAGCCCAGCCACGCTCAGCCCTGGCCGCGCACCGCAGCACCCAGGACGCCTGGGTGGGCCCAGCATCCGTCGTTTTCAGTAACCCAGAAGGACTTCACTGAGCAGCGAAGGCCTTTGCCTGGCTGTCACCACTCCCTGGGCCAGGAAGCTCTCTGCCCACCCTGCCCCTGGCCCGGCCTGTCGAAACCCCTCCTAAGACCAGCTTTGCAACTTTTCCGTAAGTCTAAAATTAATTCAAAATAAAAAGTTACAAAGAAAAGAAGCAGAGCCTGTCTGTTAAGCGGGCACACCGCAGACGCTGCCTCACGGAGCCCCGCGAGGGTCGCAGTTTAGGGATCACAGGGTCCTCATCTCGGGGCACCTCCCAGACACTGACTACGAAGGGAAGACGGGGCTCCCCGGGGAAGAACCAGCGCAGGTTAGCAACACCAGTGACACGGGTGCACCCCAGGCGAGTGGAATCTGCCCCAGGAGGGGACCTGACTTGTCGAGAAGGCCCAGCCCTTCCTGCCACCCCAATCCGGCAGCCACCTGCTGGAGGCCAGTGTGCCCAGGGCACGGTGGCCAGTGGGCAGGCCCCTTAGCAGTGCCCGCCAGGCCTCCAGCAAGGAGGCCCAGGGCCAGGTTCACAGTCTGTAGGATGGACTCCCGGGGGAGGCAGGCAGGCCCCCTCCTGTGGGGCTCGAGTCGTGGGGAAAGCTGGGGATTTGGCCCCAGAGGGGCCCCCTGGCCGAGGAAGGGCCCAAGCACAGCCAGGGGCGTCTCCTGAGCAGCCAAGTCCTCTCACCTGCTTGGGCTTCTGCTCCGGGAGGGGCTTGGGGGGAGGAGCAGGTCTGAGCTGGAGAGAGAAAGAGCAGTCAGGACCCCAGTCTTCGCTGGCCTGGGGGGTCAGCCTTCTGACAGTGTGGTAGCTGGGGGTCCCCAGCCCACAAAATCCACCCCTCCTGCTGGCCCCCACCACCGCTCACCTGAGCTGGGGCCTGCTGGGTGTACACGGGGACCGGAAAGGGTGGGCTGCACATGGTGGCCGGGGGCTGCAGGGGACAGAGTCGTGAGCCTGGACCTCGCCACGTGGCCGCCCCAGGAGCTGTCCCTCCCAGCTCAGGACCTGAGACTCCTGCCCTCCCAGAGCGGAACGGCACCCACGTGTGCACGGGGGCTCCGCCCCGCCCAGCAGGGCCCCAAGCCCACCCACGACCCCCTCATCCCCTTCCCTCAGCCCTGTGGCTCAGGGGCTTGGAGGTGCACAGGAGAGGGAGTCTGGGCCTCAAAACCGTCTTTGAAAGGGCCCCCCAGGGACCCTGAGGCTCGGGTTCAAGTTGAAAGCAAGTTCCGCCAGCGGTTCACACGGGTCCTCAGACACCGCTCGGAGGCCTGGTCGCCCTCCCTGGGCAGGGCTTGGTGGCCGGCTGGTGCTTACAGCAGGGGGCGGCTGTTTAGGGGTCACCGTGGAAGCTGTGGGCCTGGGGGCCGGGCTGGGGCGGATGGGACGTGTGGCGGGGGCCGGCTCTGGGGGGCCCGAGGCGGGGGCCGGAGCCCTGGCCCCGGCCGGCGCCCCGCTCGCCCTGGG